ATTCAAAATGTCAACACCTGGCTGGAAAAGATGAGAGCCTTGAAAAACTGGTAGCAAGGATAATTACAGGATCTGTGTTTATGGTATGATGCTGAGACAGCACTTACGAAGTCAACAAGGAGTACAAAGGCATCCTGGTTTGACTCTCTGTTGCTCTGATAAAACCCTGATCGAGGCCAGCTTTGAGGGGGAAAAGGTTTATTTAGCTTACAGGTTACAGTCTATTACTGAGGGATGTCAATGTAGGAACTGCAGCAGAGACCATGGGGGAATTCTACTTACTGGTTGCTCTCTGGCTCACACTCAGCTGCCTTTCTTATACAGCCCAGGCCCAACTACCTGGGTGTCGAACTGCCCACAGGTGGGCTGGGTCCTCTCGCATCAACCAGCAACCATGAAAATGCCCCACAGATGTGCCCACAGGCTAATCTGATGGAGGAAATTCCTTAATTGAGATTCTCTCTTCCCAGGTGTGTTTAGGTTTGTCAAGTTGACAAAAACTAACTGACAATCAGCAACAGATATTTCCAGTTCACTCACCAGTATCTATGACCATGCTAACCCCTGTCCCCATGGCCACCAGGACAGGATAGTATGTCTAAAGCATGAGAACAGGGTAGACACAGGTTTTCATATCTCCAAAGGACCTTTTTCCCTGGAGACAAAAGGCTCTCAGTTACTAGATCTTTGAAGAAAATGGTCTCACACATCTTCCTGTTTAGGCCAATTCTCCATACAATTGTTAAATGAATATAAAAATGCAATGAAAGAACCCCTTCTTTCATTCTACCAAGTGTTCTAAATGGAGACTTGGAGTTGGTGTGACAAATACTTGTCAAGATTGAGGAAACCTGGTATACAGAGCATGTGGGGGCACCCGACTATCACTGGAGTCCTCTGCAGCTCAGGCTGCCCCGTCTTTCACCTTCTACCCTGGATCCAGATGGCACCAGAGAGGAAAGCGGTGCTGTGCCATCTGTCTCAGAACAGATTTGCTGGACAAACTCAGCAGCCTCCCTTCCCACTGGGTCATGGAAAGGAAACCCCTGAGCAATTCTTCACCATCAGACCTTAGAACAAGCATTAAGCTCACAGGCAGCATAGCGTACTGCAAGCCTCATGCTCTCACATGGCTCGTGAAAATTACACCCTGTACATAAGTTTCCATTTTTCAGGAACCGATAGCCCCAGTTTAATTTCTTCCCTTCGTCTTCTGACTATTCTTTGAGCTGTAGCAAGGAAGGAAAAGGGGCAGGGAAAATGGAGGGAGATGAAATAAAAATTAGACCTCTTTACGATTTGTTGGTTGGCTCAATTATTGTTTTATTTTCTAATGTTCTTGTTGAGAAAGAAAACAATTTCTTCCCAATGGAAGATCCCTCTGGGTTCAGTATTTACAAAATAAGAAGACTAGGCTAGATGACCGCCAGTTTTAACAGTCAGCACTAACCCTGGGAAGGGGGAGATGGCCATGAATTTTGATGATCTACACACAGATAGTAAGATTCCCTTGCTGCACTGAATTTAATTTTAGGGCATAATCTAAGACGTTGTTCCCTATCCTTTCAATTTCATACTATAATTGGATATTCCAAACTCAGGATTTTAATGCAAATAAAATCATCTGGGATAAAAGACAATTTCGTGATTATGCAACATCACCACGGAGTTAATAAATTGCTCTTAATTCAAGTGTAATGGAAAAGATTTTGATTTTTCCTTAATTGATGATATCTTGGAACAAAGGCTGAGGAAAGCCAGCTGCCTACACTTTCCTCATTAACTGAAACATCCCTCAGAGAGGGAGGATTTGGAAATAAAATCTCATATCCTCAGATTACTGGGCAACTACTAAATCCAAGCTAACTACTAAACCCCAACCATGCCAAACCATCAGCACTTACCAGTTAGCTTACAAATAGGACTTCTTTCCTAAAGAACCCAAAGCC